AAAAACAATAGCAGCTGTCTATTGTTGACAATATATATCAAATATATCAAAGTATAAAACCCAGACAAATGTGACAGTAAACAGAACAACAGCAGGATCTTCAGAAACACTTGAGGTGATAGCAGGAAACACGTCACGCTTCGATGCCTTTTTCTTTTGTTTTTGGCGCTCATTACAGACTTTCTCCAAAATACATTTACATTTTAATCTGAGTTCTGATTAGCTGCAGATGCTCACCTGCATGCATATAAAGCCAAAGGAGAAGGTGCAGTTGGGTTAGCTCCATCTGCTTTGGTAGTTTCTTATTTATTTTGTTCATTAATAATACGTTTATGAGCTACTGGCAGTTTTAGGAGAGAAGCCTGAATCACATGGCTCATTGTGCAGCTGGTTCACCGTCTTCATCTCCATTACTCGTGCTGCTTTTTAGAGCAACCTGACTGCAGACGGCAGCAGCGCTCTTAAACACACACAGTATTTGTACAGGTAATATTTACCCTCGCCCATTAGATTTATGGTTTGAGTGTTTTCTTACTTTTAAACCTGCGTGACTTTTCCTCGTATTTAATCAGTATTTCACTTAGATACCAGGAACATTCCCAAAATGAAGACCTCTACTTTTTATTGAAAAAGAAGCAGCTGGTGGGGTGAATTCAGTAACATCTGCAGGTGTTCAGTGGACCAGGTAACGGCTTCACAGTAAAGTGTAACAGTGTGCGCCACGTTTCCAGCTCACCACTTCAAGATTATCGGCGTTGTTTTGTCCTTTTCCTCCTCCGTCGTTATGAATGTTCGCCTCCTTCTCCTTCTGCTCAAAGTACTCCAGGAAGGACGGCTTGGCAGGCTTGGCAGGCTGCATGGTCTCATCTCGCCCTGTAAAACAAACAGCAAGTCCAACATTTACTTTACTGTAGATGAGTCTTAGACTGTCAGAGCGACACACACAGACTCCATAATTAGGGCTGCCACAAACGATTATTTTGATAGTCGACTAGTCACCGATTATTTTTGCGATTAGTCGACTAATCAGATCATCATC